ACAGTATGTGGAAAATAATGTGGTTTTTGAACCTTAAACCACATAAACACATTGCATTACACCAAATATACAAAATAATGTTATTTTTAGCATCGTCATATGAGCCCTTTAAATATCCAAATACTTTTCAGGCCCACTGCATGCCTGTTACATCATAATGTCTGGTTTTCAAAAAAAAAAAAAAAAAAAAAAAAAAAAAAAGAGCTATGCAAAAATTTGATATGCCTAGACTGTTATGCCTTTGGAAAGAAAAAAGAAATCTAGTCAACTGCTTTACAGGTCAGGCTTTGCTAAAGGACTACAAGATAAAAATGCATCTTTGACCTGGCTGTTTGCTGAACGCTCAAACGCTCTGATCTCGTAAGTGCAAACTAAGTCTTGTTTCCTCACAGCTGAAGCATTATTAATGACCCAGGATTGTGGTGAAGGGTTTTAGAGTGATAGCATGCAGGCCTGAATGGAACACCTGCGTTATTTTTTCATGAACGCAGATGTGAATGTGTGTGTGTTTGTGTTTTTAGGGTGCAAAAAGAGTACAGACAGAGTGTGCGTCCCTGCTCGAGTGGTCAACACTTTTATTCTAGTGGGTTAGCGTGTGTGTCTGTATTTGTAATCCATTGGGAGTAATTCAGCTGAGGGCAAGAGAAGCGCGAAACTTTGAGAAGGCTTTTATGTACTTTTGAATGAAACGATTCACAGAAAAGCTTTTATAAAAACTCATTTTATTCTGGCATCCACTTCCAGGGGGGCACTTACGTCTTTCGTCTTTTCCTATATCAGTCGGGTTTAACCCTTTAGCTGCTGTCGTAGTTGAGTCAAGCTGAGCTGATCTTTTCACAAAAGGTTATCTTCAAGGGACGTTTCAGGGTAAAGTTAAGCTCTATCGATGACATTTGCGGCTTAATGGCCATTATCTGTAACTCAGAAGATCATTTCGACTAGCCACCCCGATATAAAAAAAAAAAAAAAATTGCGGTTACAGCAAGGGATTTACAATGAGAGTTCACTGGACAAAGCAAGTGTTCAAATACACGTTTTCAAAAAATATATAGCTATAGGTTTATAACTTAGTTATAGCTAAGTAATGAACATTTTGTGTGTTAACATTAGACTATTGTGATAGACTCACTTGTTTCATAGATTGTTATACAATCTTTTCTATTCATTGTCATGAACAAATACAATTTGTAAAGATGGTAACTTTCACACAGTACATTTAGGATACAAGAAATTGATGTAAAACTCCACTCAAAGGAATGACTGTACATCGATAATGCTTAATTTACATTACTGATGCACATCAACTCAAATGGGTTACATCACTACATCACAAGATTTTAACTGAAAAATGTAATGTAGGCATTTTAATAACAGAACCACATGCTCCACATTTCCACTTTTAAAACCCACAGAATTCTTTATTTCACTGTAAAATTAGTCACTTTTACATTTGTTTTCCCACAAATTTCAATTATCAAATCAAAATAATTTTCTATGGTAATCAAAATACTGCCAGAAATGCTATTTCTATTCTATTTACATATAGAACCTAGATTTTTTTTTTTTTTTCAAATATTGAAGTAAATATCATCTCTTCAAGCAGCACTGATGCAGTATGCTTTTCTTAGTGAACGTTGTACTACAAAGGTTTCATTTTGCTTTATGCGAACACACTGCTCTTGTCCGCATTGCTCGTGTCGTATAACTTACTGATGACTTTTGCATTGGAGATATCTGTATTGAGTCTGTGTTCTGAGCTCTTTATGCAACAAAGTCAAAACAAGCTTCTCTCCTTTTTTGTCCGTCTCCATAGACTTCCCTCCCTCAGGTCAGTGGTGCTGTGGCCTTGCTGAAACCGATGCAGGGGTCTAAAACAGAAAGCAGTGATCACAGTGACAGACAGCTCTTCTTTATAAAGACCTGTCCACACGCTGGATGAGCCCTATGGCCCTGAAATGCTCTCTGGGTGACCACCTGCCTCTGGAAAAGCCTCAGAACACAGACAGGATGTCACAGTGCTCTGAATCACACTGAATGAGAATGATGGCTCAAAAAGGAAAGGAGTGACTGGATGGACAGAGGACAGAGAATGGACAGGAGGCATCAGCGTTTTCAGATTAGTGGATATTATATATACACACACACACATTATTCAAAAGTTTGGTGTAAAAAAAAAAAAAAGATTTTTCTCATATGTTTGTGAAAGCAGTCTCTTATAATAACAACAGTAATATTGTGAAATATAATATTTTCCATTTTAATGTATTTTCAGCAGCCATTTCAACATCTTAATATTTTTGGGGAATACATTTCATGATTCGTTGATGAATAAAAAGTTCAAAAGAACAGCATTAATTCGAAATAGAAATCTTAACATTAAAATCGTTACTGTCACTTCTGATCAATTTAATGTGTTCTTGCGGAATAAAAGTATTCATTTCAATCAATCAACCAACCAACCAACCAACCTACCTACCTACCTACCTACCAACCAACCAATCAATCAATCAATCAATATCTTACAGAACCTAAAACTTTTACACTGTAGCCCATCCATCTGTCCATCCATCCATATACATACACATCAGATATTAATAATTCTTGCGGATATTGGTGTCAACCCTATAACCACAGAGAAGCTGAGAGAATGGGGGGGGCTACATGAGCACCAGTGGGCATGATTTATGGATACTGTATGGCAGATGTCTGTACAGTATGTCCAGTAAGTGAATGGGCTGATTGAGAGGGCTTGAATGTAGGGATTGAGTGATATATAAACAAACACCAAAAACCAAACAGAAACGGCATCAGAGGATTAAAAAATAAAAGTACTACGTATATTTACAGACATTAATGATCTTGCTGAGACAGACAGGAATTTATTGTCTGAACGAGACATTTTGTATGAACTTTTAATGAACAATCAAAAACAAAATAGTATTACTGGAGACTTTTCCCACCTTTTTTTAACAATTCCATCCATTTTTTACATTGCAATGCACAAAAAGAGACTAGAACACTCAAGACTGCACTCTCACACAGATACACACATGACAGACAGACAGATGCTAGTACCGATCTGGGGAGATGGATGTGTCAGCAGTCTGATTATGAAACGATTCAGATCTGGAACACTTGCGCTTCAAGCCAACATGGTGAACTGCAACGATTCATAAAGATGAACACACGCACACTAAAAAAAGTTGAGAGCAGTGGCAGACAGAATGGGCACAGACACCTAACTCTGTATTTCATCTTAGTTTCCATACTTCAGGATGCAAAATACATCATTATTATGTTGTATTCCCGTTGAAGGCCGATCCATCAGAGTGTAAATTGGTGTGGGTGGCTGTACACACGCCCTGGGTTTATAGAGAAATGGAGCACGGCGTGAGAGCGAAAACAGATGAAGTGTGTGTGTGTGTGTGTGTGTGTGTGTGTGGTCTCGGTTCATCTTTCAGATCTCCGACAGGGCTACTTATGGGAGCACAAAATAATAAGGATAATATATTGCACACACAAAAAAAATAAAATAAAACAGCCCCTGCTCTCATTATCTCCCATGATTCTAATCTACACAAAACACAAAGCCTTCCATGCTTCAGGCCAGGCCTCCATCCTTCACCTCCAAGTTAGAGGAATTAGCGAATCTGCATTTGTGCCAGAAAACGAAACAGAGCAACTGATAATTCAACTTCAACAGTGCCCTGGCATCTAATGAGCTTTCAAAGCCGAGGAGATGGAGAAATGAGCCTGACATCTGCACAAAACAGAGCTTCTTGTAAAATTAGCCTGCCTTTAATGACCGGCTCGCTACAAATGCATCAGTGCTCAAAACAGAAAACACTACCATGCCAGATCACTTGTTGGCCATTGCATCTTTTTTTTTTTTTTTTAAATCCTCCATCTGTGTCAGTGAATTAGCGAGCAGACACAGAGCAGAAGCAGACATGAAAACTTACTCTAACAAACAAAATGCACATGGCCTGGTCTGCTAGTAAAAGAAAGACCATATCCTAACAAATCTCCCTCCAAATGCACAGATGCAAAGACGAACGGACAGTACACGTGCACACACTCTGGAGAGAGGCAGAGATGGGAACATTTCAACCATTCCATTTCAGTGGTACCCAGCAGACGGCTCCCCAGTGGCGGCGGTACACTCTGAACACGGCCAGAGACGCTCACAGTTCAGAATTTGAAAAAAGAAAGTGTCTTTCTATTTTCTAAAAGACAGACTGACAGGGAGACAGTGAGGATGGTGACACAGAGATGGAGAAATAACAAAGGGGCATCATTGCCTTCTCCATCTCTAACCACAGTGAAACCAAATGTCAGCCATCAAAAGAACAATGAAAATAATGCCATATATTGTACAGCAGTTTATATTTAGCTTTGTAAATGATGATTTCCAGCATAATTCAGTCGGATTCAAGCAGCAAAATAACATGTGCGTGCTTACTGTGAAGTGAAGGAAAGACAGAGAGCAAACAATACAAAAGAGCACTTCAAACAAACGACATAGTGCTGTTATCTCCTTCTGACAGTAGTTTTACTTCGCAAACCCATCAATTCAGTAGCTGAATAAATGCTATTCTTATGACAAAAAGCAAATAAAACCAGTTCCTGTCTGTGTATTGAGTGCATGTTGCATCGAAGCAACACTGAATTATTACTTATACAATAGCGATAAAACAGAGCTGGTGGTTTTCCAGGTATTTCTAATGATATTTGTAAGCAAACCCACTGGAGATCAGTCTCAATAGCATCTAAATAGTTAACGTTTACACCAGAACTGATGCAACCTTTCCAGTGACTGTAATTCATCTGATCTTACACACTTAACCCTTTGATGCACTACATGGGTCTAAAGTGACCCAACTGAGTTTATTTTTTCTACATCTTTGCAAGAAATTAATTTCTCAATTAACTTATTTTTTATCATCACATATTCTTATTTTTTCTTTCTTTTTGAATAAAAATCATTTTTGTGTCACTACCCCTCTAATGCACAACATGGGTCTAAAATGACCCATATTCATTTCCTATGTTATTTCAATCATGCCTGAGTGATTCTTTGCTGAATCTTTAAAATAAATGCACTTTATCATTTATTATTCCAGGTATTCATTACATATCTTGTTTTTGATTTCTACAAATCATTATGTTTATTTTTCCTTTCTTCACTTTATATAAAAAAAACACAGTTTTTGTATTTCTACATCAATTTTACACACATGGGTCAAAAATGACCCATATAGAAACCTTTGATTATTTGCTATTTTTTTTTTGCAAGTAAGAACATATTTACTGCAGAACACTATTCACCTGCCCCACATTTCACAACTCAACATAGCTGCTTTTGTATAATTGATGCATTTAGTCTTATTTAATAATTTATTACCACAGAAAAAAATTCTATATTGGCCTACTGTGGAAGATAACTGGACATAATATTTGAATGTTAGGCTAAGGTTACCTTGACCTTGGAATCTATTACTAGTGAGACAGAGAAACATGACTAATACGATTAACTAGCTTGTTGTTGACATATTCTATTTTAGCTAACTAATGTTAGCTAGGTCAACAAAATAAAAGTCAAAATAATATTTTATATACAAGTATATATCATTGCTGTCAGGCAGAAACCTCGTATATATCCACATTTCATCATTTAAAATTTTTTTTGTCATAAATCAGTGCTATTGGTCACCCTTTATGTCTGTCAGTGGTTCTGAAAAGTAATGGTTTTGGACATACAAGTTTTCTGTCTGACAGTGACAATATATAATCAGTATATACATGCTCAACTGCTTGTTGTGCACTCTTTATCTAGAGTGTTAGTATGGCTGAGACATTCTAGATTAACGGCTGAAATGTCCTGATTCAGAGTCTGAAATATCTGATGCTGATGACCTATAGACTATGTGCCACAGGGTCAATCTGGAGTTGTTGGTGTAAATCCAGCTCTCCTAGATGAAGAAGACTCTGTGATGACTTTGAAGACTTGTCTGACGAGTCCTCTAAAGAGGAAACTCAGTAAATATCCCAGTCCAATAGATTGAGTAAAAATGTTTTTCACCAACTCATGTAAGCGGAGAACACGGAGGTGCTGTATTGTAATGTATTGTAATGTGCTGGATGAAATGTGACCACATTAAAAAAAAAAATATATATATATTAATTTGTGGTCATTGTAAAAAGATATTTTGAATATTCATGGATCATGGAATGTATAGATCAGGGAATATTAAAAGCTGAAAAAAAATGATTTCAAAAAAAAAAAAAAAAAAAAAAAAAGCCCAGCAAAGCATGAAATAACATAGGAAATGAATACGGGTCATTTTAGACCCATGTTGTACATTAGAAGGGGTTTTCATAGCTTGTGCATCAAAGGGTTAAAAATAAATGGTCCAATAGGGGGTTTTAACAGCAATGCAATAGAAGAAACTTTTTGGCTTTCAGTAAATGGTTCTTAAAATATCTATTTTATTTCTTAATAATGTGAAGAATTTTTTTTTGCTATATAAATAAACGTTTGTGAAATAGAAAGGTTCTATGGATGTTAAAGGTTCTTCATAGAACCATCAATGCCAACTGACCCGTCTGACCCGGGAGATTGATTGACAGGCGATCTGACCAATCATAACGCTGAATCTGCCATTTTGTCCGACAAACAAACCAGACAGGACAGTAGATATACAGTCGGAAAATGACTACTCATGCCACAAGCAAGAGTGAGGGGAGGTGGAGGAAAGATTTCACTAATGGTTTTCACATGAAGATAGCCACCATGTTGTGAACATCGCCTCACTGTCGCTGTCTACGGCTGTATGTCCTCATATCCAACCCACACTAGAATCGGGTTAATGTTCACATATAAAAGGCTTCAGGCGGAATCTGGCAAACTGTGAATAAATACATATTTTGCAAATTGTGAAAGATACACTTCGAAACTAAATCTGATAAATACTCTTCTTTGTAATGTTTTGGACAGTTTTCAGTGCTGAGATGGAGAGGTAAATGTGGCAGGTCAGTAAGAGAGAGCTCTTAAAGATGACCAGTGGATCTTGAAAAAACACTAAGCTACAGTTCACTAAAATACTCTTCTACGAGAGGGCTAAAAGCTAAAAGCACAGTGACTTACAAAGAAATCACGAAGAAAAC